CAATTTAAAATCCCCGCAAAATCCGATTCGATTTTGATATATTAATGAAGAAAATTGTGAATATTGTTTCCATATTTCCTTCCAACGCGAATAAAATGGGAAAAAATAAAAAAAAAAAAACAGAGAATTATCGAAAAAATCAAAATGACAACCTTAAGAAATTTCAAATCCAGCAAAAACAAAAACGCAAATAAAAGAAGCAACCGTTCTTCAAAGTACTAATAAGATGAAACTGAAAAATGAATGAAAGAAATTATACATTTATATATACATAAAACACAGCATAATGACACCTTTGACTTTACCGGAATAATAAATCAAAAAATTAAAGAAACCGAAAAATGGAACAGAAACTTTCATAGCCAATTATTTCCAAAGTTTCTGTTTCATTTTTTTTTTTCTTTTTTGTTTTGGGCAATACTATGTTTTTGTATGGAAAGTTAATTTTTCAACAAATTATAGACAAAAATATGCCAAAAATATTGATTAATAATAAATTTACGAAAATTGAATTTCGATCACACATAATTTGTTATAAAACTAAGTAATTATAATTGTAACAAATTAGCTCACTCCTAAATTTACCTTAATTTATCGAAAAAAAAAACATTAACATGTCGACTTATCCTGTTAAATCAGTACTTTTCGCACGTTGAACACAAACCTGTCCTAGCTGGCTATTTTCCGGATCTTTCCGGATCCGGTCATTATCAATTAATTCATAATCATTGTATACAGCACTATTATTTATAAAAATTTTCACTGATATCATTTTACATATTACAGTTAGATATTTTTTTCAAACTTTTTATCATTTTATCAAGTTAATCACTCATTCACTCTCCTCTCATATAATCGTGTGCTATTTCATCGTTGCTTTTTTTCTATCATTCTTTCTTGATTTTACTCATCTTTTATGCTATCTGAAGTAATTTCACTCTTTCCTATTATTTAAACTCCTCAATGCCTTTTTCTTTTGCCATCTCCTGATTTTTGCCGGAACAATAGTTAAAATGAGTTCGTTGTTTATGGAAACAGTAAAATTACCGCATACGATTAATACGGTCAAAATTTCCGGTTGTGACTGATTTGAAAAGTTTTTGATTTAATAATTCAAATTAGAAGTCTTTAAATGCAATATATATATGTATATGAGCATGACAGTATAGTCTATGTTGAAATTACTTTTAAGGCTTTTTTTGGCTCCGGAACTGTATACCTTTATAAATACTTTTATGGTTATGGCCATAATTATACGGTCAAAATAAATTAGATATTTTTTGAAATACAAAATCATATACCTAAAATTTGAACATTTCTTAGCATTTTTATGCTATTCTTTGATTATTTTTATTATTGCTTTTGCTTTTTTTTTTCAGGACAAAAATGGATGCAAAGAAGAAATTAGTAAAGAAAGCTACGAAATTAATCAATACTGAAAATGCTATCGGTGGTACCACACGCTTTGAAAATTTTTCAAGGTTACGTCTTTGTTCAATACTTTATCTTTGTTCAGTAAGTTGTTATTAGGTAGTTTTCGGAATTTCTTTCTTTTGGATAAGCTGGTGATGTTTTGGTTTTTTTTTTGGAATTTTAAAAAAGCTTAAGGAAGGTGGAAGCTTACATACATCAATTACTTCCCTTTTTTTCTCAAAAAAAGTTGCTGTTACACTTTTTTTTACTTAATAAGTCTAATAGTATTCTTAATCCCTTTTCTATATAGAATAATTGATTTAATTGATTGGTTTTTTTTTTTGTTCTACTAGGTTAGTATTAATATTAGGATTAATATATTAATATTTCTGATTTATCCTTGAAAGAAAAATTTTATCAAACATTTTACATTGTTTATTACATATTCGTCAGTTTCATAACATTAACATTGTCTCTTATCAACACTATCGCCTTGTTGTAAGATATCGAAAAAGTAGTAATAATACTATCGCCGCTACTTTTTTAGAAAAATTTGATAATATAGCTAAAATGAATTTTTTCTGCATAACTGATTGATTAAATTAATTTTTAGTGAGAAGATTCATTTCACGTTTTCATGGGGTACACACTTAAATGACGAGGAATTTCAATGGATTTTCCAATTGTTTGTAGTTAATATGCGTGCTATGTATGAGATCTCTCAATGGGGATACGACGAAGTAAGCAAAAAACAGGAATTTCAAGCGACTACATCAAGGTATTTGTAGGATTTGCTATCGAAAGGTTGATTCATAGAATAGTAGTTTTATTTATTATTATTATCTTAACTTTATCGTTCTTTTATTAGATAGTAAACGACATGAAAATACTGTTTACAGATATATTATCGCAAGGAATGAAACTAATAAACCGATCGCTTATTTGCATTATCGTTTTGATATTGATTTCGATTCAGCTGTATTATATTGGTTAGTGTTTGTTAACATTTATTTTAGCTATATTATCAAAATTTTCTAAAAAAGTAGCGGCGATAGTATTATTACTACTTTTTCGATATCTTACAACAAGGCGATAATTGTTGATAAGAGATAATGTTAATGTTATGAATAGAGAGACGATGTGTTTTGGAAACTTCATTCAAACTGAAACGGTGTTATCACATGTTATAATTTGGATTACAGCATTTATATGAGCTGATTTTTTGGGGAATTCAAATGATATATGCATTAAGGAACAAGTTGGAAGGGATGACATCTAAGTTTTTTGCTTACTGTGTTATGATTTAAAAGAAAGATGAATTGAAATCTTTTTTTTTTTTTTTTTTTTTGGAACTTCCTGTTATATCTGGAATTTTTTTTTATTTCAGTTATGAGATACAGGTAGAAAGCGAATATCAAGTTAAAGGTATTGGATCGACTCTTTTATCCATTGCCGAATGTATTGGAAAGAAGTAATCATCATTTTTATACTGTTCAACATTTTCTCTTTCTTAGATAGTAGGAAATGAAAGGGAAAAATACTATAATGCATAATTGAGCAATGAAACCAAAATTTGCATATGTTTGTGCTGAACTCAAAATTATGAAAGTTTTCAGAACTTCAGCGAATTGAATTGCTAAAAATAAATTTTTGTTAAAGCTATAACAGGTCCTATTGCACACTAATATATCTCAGTAAGCCAGTGATTTTCAAAAGCTCTTGATTTTTTGTATAATAAAAGTGAAAATATTTAAATCGTAGAGGTTAGCAGTAAGACATCAACAAGTATATGATTATGGCTGATACCGGACTTTATTGTCTATTATGTTCATGATTGGTGAACTAGCATTAGCTTTAACCTGGATGAAAAATGGATAATAATTATTTATTAGACTGAAATTTTGCGGTGATGAATTTTGATGTGCTATTTATTTGGAGTGTTGGATAATTTTAGGATGTCAATGGACAAATTGATGGCTACAGTGTTTGCATTTAATGGAAATTCGCTTGCATTCTTTCACAAGAATGGCTTTAGTGTTGATTCATCATGTCCAGACTCTGGTGATTATCTGATTTTATCAAAATCGTTATCTGAATGATGATCTCATCTGATGTAGTTATCTTATTTTTTCACTTGTTACAGAAAGATTTCATATTTCACATGTACATAAATCTTATTTTCGTTTTATTATAGCTGATATAATTTACTACCAGTTGAAGAAAAAAAGAATAGATTCCTACAAATTTAATAGTTTGTTACAATTTAGATAAAAAAGGCAATAATTTCGAGCCTAAGTTATAGAGCACCTGAAAAAAGGTACGGCGATTTATATAAATATATCCGGAAACATACAACTGTGCATTGAGTAACTAAAATATATACATATACATAGAAATGACATAGCCGTGCAACCAATTATAATATGTATATTATTTATTAGATAAACACAAGACAGTTCTTCCTTCCGCTGAATTGCTCCTTGGTTGGAAATGGAGATAATGATAGGGAAAATAAGAAGGGAAGTTCGTAGCGGAAGTGGCAGTTAGTTTTTGATGACAAGTTTTAAGGATAGATCCAAGATTAATTTAATAAGCAAGTATGAATATTTAGGATGGATTAAATTAGATTATTGTATAGTTTTCATTCGTAGTTGAGATTGCACAATGTTTAGAATATTTAAATTACAGTTTCAGTATTTGGTGCATTTTGAATTGTGAAATTCATTGTATTCAATAAAGTTTTTTTTTTTTTTTTTTGAATTAATTTGTTTGCTCGTTTCTTTATTTTGTTTCGAATACACTGACATTGTTCACTTTTGTTTTTGATAATGAAATCGAGTGATAGTTGTGACTTTGCTCCTTACATCTCTTTTTTTTATCATTTTCAACCAGAAATTAACAAATACGAGAAGTATCAGTAGTTCATCATCTGCTTATCAAAGAAAAAGAAAATTGATATTACCTAGTACTCTTCTTTTTCTGTTGTATTTTCATCGGTTTTCTTTCCTAAATTCTAAATTAAAACTTTTAATGGAGACATCTATTACTGCATGATGTTAGTTCACCTTAAAATTCCATTAATTTAAGAAGTGAAAAAGAAGAAAGATCAACTTGTAGACATGGTTACAAGTCTTGAGAGATAGTCGAGAATTGGAAGACATTTAGAGGCATATCAACCGCACCAGAAAAAATTTTAGTTTCACACAAAATGTCATAAGTATTAGTTTATAACTCAACTAATATTTATATATATTATTATGTTTAAGTGTATGCCTAAGATATAATTAACTGATTATGACTTAATGATTAATGAATTATTACATTAACATTATCAAAACAAAATACCTCAATTATTCTATCGCCAATCAAAATAAAAACATGTAGGAAATATTTGAATTAATTTTGCAATACATTCTATCACAACTGCATATAAATACACACAAACATACTATTTCGTCCTCTTCTGGTGACAAAAAAAGTACCAATTTCGAGGATTCTGAGCAAAATTAAACAGTTTGTTATTGGAAAAAAAAAAAAAAAAGAACGAAGTTCATTGTACCCGCTTGATTACCATAACCAAACAGCAGCTATCGTTTCCTTCCTGGTGCAAAAAGGTACTGCAATTGAGGTGGTACGGTAGGAAGCAAATTCTCCGGTATTGTATAGTTCTTAACAAAGTTGGCAAGCTAAAAAATAAAATTATTGATTGGATTCACGAATAACAATGATAAGTTTATTTTTTTAAAAAAAGAAGACGCAATTCATTTCATTTCCTAATGAATTAGTTTACTTTAATGTAATTTAATAAATTTGATTTCCAAATTAAACCTTTAGGTTAAAATCTAAATTAGAAATTAAATTAAACCTGTTCTTTGAGAGCATCCAATGCACCACCTGTATTTACCCATCTTTGCAACCTTTGCAAATTATCAATACCAATTGTTCGATCAATATGGCCTAGTAATTTAGCTTGGCTATCTAATTTTTCACTACCCAATGCAACCTGAAGTTTAAAAATTACTGATGCAATTTATTAATCATGGAATATATTTTTACATCAACAAAAACAGCAATGCAATTAACAACAGTGTTTATTACACTACAAATTAAATTATCAGTATACGATAATAGATAGCATACGGTACTATTCTTTGCAATGGCATACTGTAATACCGTATTTTACTAGGATTCCTTGTAAAACCGCATTTAATAGAATAATTGTTATTATTAGGAACAATATCCGTTAGCATAATTGATTAATAATCTTTGATTATCTTTAAAAATATATATATATATTCCTCAGAAAAAAAAAAAGGCATCGAAAAAAAGAAATGGTGCACAGGTTCTGGTAAAAAAAATCAAAATTCGTAGCAACAATTCAATAATTTTCAAAAAATTTAAGGAAATATTAAAAAAATATATAAAATATATGATTTACTTCTAAAATATCAATTGCAGCAGATTCAATTGGTGTACCCTGCTCAAAATGATTGATTGCCTGATTGAAACCAATATCTGCTTTAGTTAGAAAATTCAGCAATGCAGATGGTTTAATCTAAAAATAAGAAACAGAAAGTTATATATACATATAGCATTTTAAGTAAGAAATAAAATGTTAGAAATTAAAATGTAAAAAATTTCTGTGTTAGAAACAAAAATAAGAAGCAATATATGTTTTTGTTTTTTCTGTTTTTTTTTTTTTGTATAACAGAAACTAATGTATTTTTATTTTTGTATAATAGAAACTAATCTGAAACTTTTTTATAAAATTTTTTGAATTCAACAATTTTTTTTTTTTTTTTTTTTTGAAAATTAAAGATGGCAAAAAATATTTAAGTGTTAGCATTAATTTCACATATAATGCATAAAATATGCTACCAAAAATGATAAAAGTAAAGTTATCATTCAGATTTGTGATAACTGTGTAATCGTTTCATTTTTCTTTTTAATATTATCAGTCATTTTCTCATATAAAAATTAGATCAGTTAAAGAAAAAAAATGAAAAATTTACATTTCATTTATCATTGCAGAAAAGGACGAAATGAAATTTTCAATTAAATTAAAAACAGAAAAAGCAAACCGTTGTTGGTGGATTTTGCGTTTTAATATAACGATCTGATAATGTTGGTAAAATACCAGCTGCAGCACCACCTATTCCAACAGCTGGTACCGGTGGTGGTATAGCTGCACCGGATGGAATCGGTGGTCCAAGACCATCACCAGTTGGACCTAACCGATTTGGTGTTAATGCAGAATCACCGGTAAATATCGATTCTTTAACTTCATTATCTTAAAAATTAATTATTGTATAAAACTTTTTTTTCCTTTTTTTAGACACATATGCAATAAAAATATTTACAAATTTAATTAATTAATTTAAAAAAAAATTTTTTTTAACCATAATCAATTTTAATTTATGATTGTTTTTAAATTTTTATAACAAAATCTCTTGTTTTTCTTTTTCTTCATTTTTTTCTTCAATTTCTCAAAAATAAGCTCATATTTCAAATTAAAAAAAAAAGTACCGAAATTATTGAATCCTGTTTGTGTCCCACGAAATGTACCTCCTAATACTGCTCCTCTTTTTCCTGTTCCAAAATCACCATCAAATTCGGAGGGTGGTAATGCAGGAATTAATCCGGAATTTTTTAAAACCGATTGTGAATTAGTTGATGATGTTATGCTTAAATGTTGTGTAGTTTGCAATGATGTTGTTTCGATTGAAGAATCCGTACTATCAATTCTTTCGGTTGTCATTTTTGTTGTCTCATCATCTGTTGATGTTATGCTAAAATTTTGATTATTTTAAATAACTATTAATGATTTTTTAATTTTTTAGGAAAATTACAGAAAACATTAAAAAAAAAAAATTTTGTTGCTAATATTTTCATTACTATTTTAATTTCAAATCTTTATAGGTGTAAATTTTTTAGGAATTAATTGTCTTACTATTTTCTTATTATTATTTTTTTTTTTTTGATTGGAATTACTGGAAATTTAATAAAAATTTTCTTGTACACTTGGAAAAAATCAATTAAAATTAAAGAGAAAATTACGTGTTATGATCATCTGTTGATTGTTTATGTTCACTGCTACCAAATATACCAACATTTGCTTGACTAAAATCAACCGGTGGTGGTTTACCACCACCAAATCCTGTTAAACCATATTCATCAGTTGGAAATTTCCCGGTACCAAATCCTGCATTATCTGTTTCAATTCTACCAGATTCTGATTTAAACTCTATTGATTTATCAAAATTATCAAATCCACTACTTGATGCACCATCGAATAAATCACTTGAATCAACTGAAGGACCTGCAAGAAAAGATAACAAAAATAAACACTTGAAAAGGTTTAAAATACTTCGCAAAAAACACTTCAAAATTTAATTGACCATCTGACTTACATTAAAAATTTAAAAAAATAGTACTAGTAAAAATTTCAATTTCTCCTAGTACAGAATAATATTTAAGTTTAATCGATTTTTATTATTTTATACAAACTTTTTTTTTGTATTTTTCTTTCCCAATTATTTTGTACTAATTTTTCTTCTTATGTATTTATTTATTTTTTCCCTCCATATCATCTCATCTTGTAAAATCATATCATCACTTTATCACTTCAGCTTATCACATTTGTTTATTCTTGCATTTTCTTTTTGTATAGGAAACATCACTATCTTATCATATCATCTTTTAACTTTCGCATTTATTTTCCCCCTTCCTTGTCATGTAAACATATCATATCAGATTATCTTATCATATCTGTTCGTTGTTCTATTTTCCTTTTATATAGATATATTATATTTTATTATCTTTCCGCATCCATTTATCTACTAAATTTTTCTTATACAAATAACCTTATCATATCTTATTATCTCTTATCACATCTATTCACTTCCTCATAGTAGATATCACCACGCATACTTTCTCGCTCCTTTTTTTTATAAATATATCTTATCATATCTGATTATTTTATTATTTTCTTCTTATACAAGCATTCTTATTATCTTATCACATTTACTTCATTTAATTTCTCACTTGCTTTTCATGCAGACGTATTTTATCACTTTTTGCTATCTTATCACATCTGTTTATTTCCTGATTTTCTCTTTATGTAAATCTATCTCATCAGGTTTTATTAATCTTATCACATCTTTAGTTTTAATTTCGTATTTCCTTTTTATGACGAAATACAATTATTGTAAAATTAATATTGCTGAAACATGAAATAAATAAATAAATAAATAAAATAGGTTATTCTTTCATAAAAATTTAGCACAAAATTTTCCACCATCTACTACCTCTCTCTCTCTCTCTCTCTCTCTCTCTCTCTCTTATCCCTTTCTCATTATCTTTATACTATCTCTGATCAAACGATTCTTAATTTCCTAATCTTTTGACCTCTTTTTCTCATTATTTTTAAGTTCGTTGTTTATTAGGAAGAATTTGTATTGGAAACAATCAAAATATCACATTTTATCGTCCAATCGTTTCAATTAGTAAATTTAATTGTTATTTAAAAAGTTTTAAATGCAGCGAAAATGTGAAAAATATTTTTTTTTATCATTAACTAATTAACTAACTAACCATTTGCATCATTGTTTAGACTTTCTTGTCCAATTTTATTTTCCAAATTTAACGGTTCAAGTTGAGGTAAAATAATTGGACTTCGTCCGGATGCTGTTTGATTACCTCTTAAAGGTCCTCTATCATCTTAAAAAAAAAGAAAGCAAAAGCTAAATAAAGCACAGCAAAAAAAAAAAAATAAAAAATAATGATGTTTTCATGATAATAAACACATACATAATAGATTGTTTGGTTTTAAAATTTTATCTTTTATTAAATATTTTGTAAAATTAAAAAACGAAAAAATTATATACAAATTATTCACAAAAGTCTTTCATTGTCTTAAAAAAAAAAAAAACAGAAAATTAAATAAAGCAAAATTATATAAATTATTATATAATTTGTTGAGTCTTTAATGTATCATAAAAATGATAATATAATTTGTTGAATCTTAAAAAAAAATATTTCGTATAAATTGCATAAAATATTAATGCATTAATAAAATAATCACTGAAAATTAAAATTTGTTCCATTAAAAATTTAGAAAATTCAGAATTTACTATGGTACTATAGTTTCTATGAATTATGTAATGCATAAAATATGAAATGAAACTGAAAACGGACCCGGTTTTCGTATCTTAAGTCGTGGTTGCCGCCGAAATTTCTGAGCAAATTTAAATTTCTTCACCGGTGTAATTTTTCGAAAATGATAGTCATTTGATGATGTGCTGAACGGAAATGAATTCGGTTCAGTGGTTGTTGTCGTGCTATCGAAATCGGTTATTGAAGTAGGAATTGAAGTGGTCAACGATGAAGCAATTGTAGATGTGATGGTTGTTGTGGGTATAACAGTTGGTGCATTATCAGTAAAAGTAATGGTATCAATGGTTGTTGGTTTTGGAGTAATTTCGGTAACAAAATTGGTAACAGGTACTGTAGTGGTAACAATTGCAGTAGTAGTTGTTGTTGTTGATAATGTGGTAGTTGTTGGTTTTACTATTTCCGTTGGCCATTCATCTACTAAAATTAAATTATCATTTTATGTTGAAAATGATAATAAAAAAAAATTTTGCATTCATAAAAAATTGCAGTAAAAAAATTTAGTAGATTTAAAAAAACTTCAAATCTTTTAAAAATTTTTAAAAATATAAAAAATTTCACTTCAAATCACTTAAATTCGAAATTTGCAAAAAAAAAAAAGATAAAAATGACTAAAAATCATTTTATTTCTTGTATGAATCAATTAATTTGGTAAAAATTTATGTCTCAGTTTGATTTAAAATAATGATAACAATGATGAAATGGTTGACCCTAATTTAACTGAGACAAATTTCCTATGAATGATGCAAAATTTTCAATTACTTTCGATTTTTCCAATTGTTCTAACATAGAAATTACAATTAGATCTTTGATCACAACAAAATTAATTGAATTAGAAATTTCAGGAATTTCAGGAATTGATGAAAGTTATTGTAAGAATTAAACAGGGCAAAATTTCATTATCTTTATTATCTAACAATTGCTGAATTGTTCAGTTAATTAACTAATCATTTAAAATAATTAATTAACTAGTGAAAAAGAAGTAAAAATGCTTTTACAATAATTTTTATAATTCAATTTAACTGACTGACCATTTTCATTCTGTCAAATATTTCATCAAATACTTTTTATCTTCATAACAAAGATATCTTCAAAAAGAAAAAAAGCAAAGCAAATAAAAGGAAAGCAAAAGAAGAAATTATATTAAAAAAAACCTTCGTTGGGGAATAATTTTGACTTTATTTCAACATTTGAAAGTAATATTCCATCCAAACGAGGTCGTTTTTCAACTTTTTCAGGATCAATTAGTATTTGTGCTGACTGCTGTTGTTGTTGTTGTTGTTGTTGTTGTTGTTGTTGTTGTTGTTGTTGTTGTTGTTGTTGTTGTTGTTGTTGTTGTTGTTGTTGTTGTCGTAATCGTTTGATAATTTTTTGCATTCGATTTGAAAAATGTGATGGTTCATTGCTATCTTTTGTTAAAATAATACGATTCCAATTTCGCCGAACATATGGATATTGTATCGATTTCACCAGTGGACCCAGTTTGCGCCATCTAGCCTGTACGATGGGTAAATTTAGAATGAAATTCAAATTCAATTGTTATTGCCATTACGATTATTAATTAACATTGTAACCAACATTAATTATTGCTATTGATATCTAGAAAAAGAAGAATGAACATTTATATTACTTAAAAAACTTTTAATAGATTACATTTTTATTAAAAAAAAGCGAAAAAAAACCAATAAAGATAATAGCAATTATTATTTATTCACTTTCTAATTGAAACAACGTATGGTAAATAATAAATTAAATGTCAAAGAATAAACATATTTTTAAATTGACTAGTTATAACGTATATTGAAATATCATTTTTATCTTTTTTCTAATTACCGTACCTGTATCCTAGCTTGTTTTGCTTCATCAATATTAATTCCTGGTGATATACGACTTAATAGCATTGGTTGTGATGTTAGAGGTGTTATTGTTATTGTTGTTGTTGTTGTTGCTGTTGTTGTTGATGTTGATCTTAATTTTGGCTTTACACTTATTGGCTTCTCTTCATTTCCATTATCATTAAAATTTTGTAGAAATGGTGAAATTACTTTCGGTAATATACGATTCATTTCCTGAAAGAAATAAAGGAAAAAAATGGAAATTTTTATGTGCAGCAAATACTTCCCGGTAAACAATAAAATTGGTATTTATAATCCTAGTAAACAAATAAGGATACTAAAGAGAAACTCCAAATTTATATATAGGATACGGTATAGTACTAAAGAGATACTGTACCCTACCGTACCTTTATTTTAACTTTTTGTTCAAACAGAACATCAAAGTGTTGCTTTTATGATATTTTAATTATAATAATGAAGTGTAGAAAAGGAAAAGTAGTGAAATAAGATAAAACTGCTAAAATTAAACAGAATTATATAAGATAAGGAAATGAGCAAGGAATATAAATAATGGGTAAGCGAAATAGGGTAGGATTGAGGTATAGGAATAAAAAATAATGATGGAATATAGGAAAACTATATTTTAAGTAAAAATTATCGTACCATTTTTTGATCCTTACTTATTTCCATTTTTTGTCAACAAATAATACTAACATTTTTGGAATAGGACGAGAATAATTTTGATTGTGGATAGGTTTGTTTTATGATATTGTGGAATTCATCACCTGAACGCTCCAATATCGTATTGTTCATTATTTGTAATGATTGTTTTCTGATAATGAAAGTAAATTAAATTTCACATACATTAAATGCACATTATCCAAACAATTAAATAAAAAAGAGATGTTAAAAATTATTGGAAAGAAAAAAGAAAGCAAAAGTATAACTTTAATATTAATTACTTACATTTGTTGATCAAATGGTTCCGTTACAATATTAGTAGATTTAAATGGTCGTAATTTTTTAATATTATTAATAATTAAATGGCTTGGACGACGACGATAATCAAATTTTGAGGTATATTGATATTGCTGAAAATAAAAATTTGATATTAATTATTAGTTTTATTCATAAAATATAATTTTAGAAATATAGAAACTTATTTGTTTAAAGCATATTTGTCACTGTAGTAATCATAATTGCTTGTTGTGATAAACTTTGATTAATTGTATGATATGTTGATAAATAAATTAATGATATTTACGCAGTATCACTGTAATAATTCATTAAATCAATTTACAGTGTATAAATTAAATGTTTATTTAATCGTTTTAACTTTTTTTTAAATTTTATTTTGGCAAATTATTGTATTTTAAGTTGTGAAGAATAATGATAATAAGTTTTATAATGCTAAACAAACTTTTTGCATTTTCATTTTGGCAATAAATAATTGTAATTGACATAATAGTAATAATAATCAGAAAATATATGTATAATAATATTAAATAAAAAAAAAAATTAATTAGTTATTTTTTTAATTTTTTTCGAATTATTAGCTCTTCTTCTTTTCTCAACAGCTTTTTACAACAAATACTAAAAATAATAAAAATAAAGCGAAATTGCCTGTTGGATTTGTTTAAAAAGATTATATTAAGTAATCAAATTTTTTCCAAATATTTTTTTTATTTAGCTAACAGTGCTCGATCCAATCTTCTAAGTACTATTAAATTAACTTTTTTAAATATTAAGCCAAATGGAAAAATATTCCAAAATACTTTTTTGGAAACTCAAACAGAACTAATAAAAACTTTATTCTTAAAACCTACAATCGATTAATAAAATCGTGTTTTACCTCATTTTCTTACATTTGTATTTATTTTCTTATTTCTATTATAAATGATAATCAGTTAAAATTAATAATTATTAAATTGGAGCAAAATGTTTCTTTTCCCATTTTTGCATTTCTTTTTTTCATTATAAATTATTTAATTGAATTAATTTAATTAATGAAATCTCACTTATTTTTGGGCTTTTTTTCAATCTCTTTTTTTTCAATTCGTATTTTGATGAAATGAAGTTTGTTTTTAAAATGACAGAATGAAAAGACAAATAGAAATAGGTGGGAATAGATGAAAAGAAATTACAGTAATGATTAATGTCTTTGTAATTCCCGCATGAATAAAAAAAAGAAAGCGATAAGGAAGAAAAATTTTATCAAATAATAAAAACTTTACGCTAAATTTTTTTTTTTAAAAAAGGAAATAAGAAAAAACAAAAAAAAAAATGAGCAAAAGAAATGAGACAACCATTTATCATTTGAAATTCATTTATAAATTATATGCTAAAACAAAATTATCATCAATATTTATTTCTCTATGAATGTTTTAGCAATAATTAATTTTTTTTTCTTTATTTTTTTTCGTCTATGATAATTTTAATTAATATTTTTTATAATATTTATGCCATTTCATTGCTTTTATTTTTATGAATAGAATGATGAATTGAAAAAAGATTAACTTTAATTTTATCACTTTTTTTTGATCGTTATAATTTTATCATCTCTTTACTAGTTTTTGCAAATTATTATTATTTATGCTATCATTAAGCTTATTTATCATCATGATATGTTGATGCTGTTATATTTTCCAATGATGTTATCTTATCATTAATGCTATATTATCAAGTTGGATTTCTTGTCATTTTATCACTACAAAAAATGAATGATAACAATATGGCGTATTAACCAGATGAGATGATAAAAAAATTTAGCAAAATTTATTACTATTTGATTATTTCATTCATATCTAAAGTTTGCTTTAAATTTTTATTATCTTACACAACCAATTGATTTAAGCAATTTAATCATCAATTTTTAATATTTTTCGAAATAAAAAATTTTGAAAAAAAATTGAAGAAAAAAAAGGCATAATTTATAATAATAATAATATATACGCATACTAGTCATTCCACTGATTATTTTTTTTATCATTAATGTCTGATTTCGTTGATATGCTAATCATTCTTTATCACTATCACAAATTTAATTCTAAAAATTGGTGTTTGTAATTTGATAAAGTGGAAGATGACAAAAATATGGAAAAAGTGCAACTTTAATATTTTATTTGAAAAAAAGAATGATACATTATTTTCTTTGTTATCAACAATCAATTCATACTTTCATAAAAAATTAATTATCCATTTATCAAACATTTTAAAACATTTACTTCAAAAAAAAAAAAAAAACGGAAAGACTTACTAAATTTAAAATCTTTTCGTTTTGTGACCTTATTCTTTCTTGTATAGTAAGAAAAAAAATTTGTTGATTTATTACAACTGATAACTAATAACTTACTATCAGTATTATTATCAGTTAAATACATCATTGTATTACTTGCAATTAATTTTCTTACTTACTTATTACATCGTCATTATCATATTTTATTGAAAGTAAAAGTATGATTTATTTTTTTTACACAATTTAAGGACCAAAAAAATTAAAAATTTTTTTAAAAACTAAAAATTTTTTTTTAATTTAAAAATCAAACAAAAAAACGAACTACAATTTTGTTTTAAAATTTATGCATTTTTTTTTTGGTTTGCTTTTCTGAATTTCAAAACTTCAAATTTGCTTCCTTTTCGTTTCTCTTTTAAATGATAATTATTATGTGTTCAAATTTATTTCTTCAATTTTTATATTTTTTAAATTTACTTGTTCCTTTCATTCATCGTTTTTTTTTTCTTTTTTGAAAAAGTAATTATTGTTATTTTATAGCAGTTAATTATTTGAAAATTATAATTAATTTTCAAATATTATGATAATTGTAAATGGATTAAATGGATTGGCAGTATAATTATATTTAATTTTATTCAAATATACTTTCTAAATGTCTTATAATGTTTTAAATGTGATAATTTGAAGTTTAGGACAATAAAACTGCAACAGCAAATGACATCAATGGTAATTTTAGGTAAAAATTTTTAAAGGAACAGATGTATACATATCAGATATAAAACTAGTTTAGAGTAAACAAGTTAAACAAGTGGAAACCGGATCTTTCAACTTCTCAAATTTGAAATTATTTCAATTTCTTTTATATAACGAAAAAGGAAAAAAAAAGAAGGAGAAATTAATTTTTGAATCAAATCAATCCATCATCATTGTATTCTATTCAAATGACAAAAAAAAAAAAAAGGAATAAATTTAAAGAGAACTTATAAAACCTTAAAAATTGAATTATTTTACACATAAAATTTTTGATTAAAAAGAAATTTAATTCATTTACGCATAAAATTTAAAAAGAAGAAAATTTCGGTTTTCTTTTTAACGAACAGAAAATTGTTTTTGTTAATATAATAAATGGATTGTTATAATCATTTAATAATTCACATAACAAATATTATAAAATAATTTACAACAAACAAATCAATTTTTATTTTGTTAAATCACGTACAACACGTACGCTGCGTTTACAACACGTACGCTGCGTTTCCTTTCTTTTTCTTCAATTTTACACTACGGATGATAATAATTAGTTACATTATTATTTAAATCGTCATTATTCTACATTAATTACTATTATTGTTATCATCATTATCACCACTACTGCTAGTCTACTTAATGTCATTAACATTTTCACTATCATTCTCACTATCACTATAGTGTAGCATTTATTATTATTGTCAGTATTATCGTTATTTTATCACTGTTATTCTTATCACTCTCATTAATATTACTATTATTATAATTGTTATTATTATTGTTATCACTATTAACATTTATCATTACTACTATTATTATAATTGCCATAATTTTCATTATTAATATTACCACTATTACTATTATTGTTATTATCAATATTACTATTATTGTTATCATCATTAATTATTATTACTAATATTATTACTATTAATCAGCTATGAAATTTGATATGTATAATATGAATAATTTTTTAATATGTGAATGACGTAATCACTTCAAATTATTGGTTAATGAGAATTTATGAATAAATTAAAATTTAAAAACAGAAGAGACAAAAGAGGAGGAAAGATTTTAAAGCAAAAGATATGACACAATGACTGTTGGAATGTAAGCTTAATTCATAGAAATATAACCATTCCATAATTCGTTAATATTATTAGTAAAAAAAAAATAATTTGGTAAAATCGTAAGATAAATAATTATTAAAAAATAATTGTTATTAATTAGATTAATAATTATAATTAAAAGAAAAAAAATAATTGAAGCAATTAAGAATTACAAAATATTGAACAAAATAATTAAAACGAATAAATCTAAAGCGATTATTTAATGAAATAATTAATTAAGTAAAATCATATGTATTTCCATATAATCACATTTCTCACACATTTTTCACCTTTTTTTTTAAATACAATAATTTTGAATTAAAAAAATTCTTTTCATTAATAAATTTGGAATTATTTTAAAGTACTAAAAAATCCAAAGATCAAAAATTATTGTAATAAATAGTCAATTTTCAAAAACTTTTAATTAGAAAACTGATATTAGTAATACTTGAAAAATACATTTAATCGTTTTTATTTTTTAATTTTGACATTTGAATAATATTTAGTTTGTTTTTTATTTCTTATTTTACATTGAAGCAAATTTTGCAAATTATCACTTTTTTATTTCAAAAAAAAAAACAGACAAAACTTTTTATGCAAATTAATCATTAAACCTAACAAATTAATATTAATTTCCTAAATCATAGTTATTAGCATCATTTATATTATCACTATCATTATCATAAATAATATATTATCACTATCATTATCATAAATAATATATTATCACTATCATTATCATAAATAATATATTATCACCATCATTATCATAAATAATATATTATCACTATCATTATCATAAATAATATATTATCACTATCATTATCATAAATAATATATTATCACTATCATTATCATAAATAATATATTATCACTATCATTATCATAAATAATATATTATCACTATCATTATCATAAATAATATATTATCATCATCATTATCATAAATAATATATTATCACCATCATTATCATAAATAATATATTATCACTATCAATATCATAAA